GAGCTTGACGGCGAGCAAGTATGCCATACCCGATACGGCGAGGCCCATATTTGTACCCTTGTGATAGTAGCGCTGCAGAACGCCCTGCAGCCTTGCACGCTCGTGACTAGACAACTTTCGCGGTCTGTCGAGGTCCTTCGGCTTTTTGCTCTTGCGTCTCCGCCGCCGTGGTGAGGATATTGCCTTCGAGCCCACGCACGAAGCATGTGCGAGTTAGCAAGGTGTCTGCAAGATGTCAAAGTGTACCAAGACAAGCTCACAGAGTCCTCGTCATCGTCTCTTGAACCGAGTCTCCGTCGCTTGCGTCTCCGCTGGCCGCCTTCCCCCTCCTCTTCGTCTTCGTCTTCATCGTCTTCGCTCTGTACATCTTCGCTCTCGTCCTTGTCATCTTCGCTCCCGCCCGAGTCCTCGCTGTCGCTATCGCTATCTATCCCCCAGTCGAACTCGAGCTTCTCGTATGCCTCTGCCTCGGCCGCGAGCTTCTCAATGACCTCGCCGTCGTCCCAGACAAAGATGCGCTCCATCATGTCCGATGTGGCAAAGAGGTTGTCCAGGTTCCACGGCCTATGCGAGTCTAGTATGTGAAGGCTGCACTTGGGCGGCAGCGGAAAACCTGTCACCTCGTCATCCTCGTCTTCGTCGTTGGAGCCGAGCAAGGGCGCGCCAGCACCGGAGGCCGAAGGCGAGGACGAGCGGCCAACTTGAAATTCGGGTCGGCACTTGGGAACGGTAAAATAAGTGGGGAGCGAGAGGACGGAACCTAGGTTGAGGAAGACGAGTGTATGTAGCTATGCGTAGTGAGGCGAACGGAGAAAAGGGCACGTTAGAAAAGGTACGGCAGACAGAAGTGCATTGATGAGGAAGGGAGACGCACCTCGTCATTCCCCACTACGTCTGTCTCGATGATCCGCTGCAATGTCGCATATCCGTCGACCGGTACCAGCCTGTGAGGTATGTCGTCATCTGTGAGGAGCCTGACGAGCACGCGCGCTGCACACAGCGCGTCCGGGTCGGGTGAGACGAGCAGCAGAACGGCAGCGTTGGCCGATGCTGTGGAAGAGATGGAAAAAGAAGCACATCGCGATTTCTTGAGAATGTCCAGGTAGGCAAGCGCATAATCTGGCGCTCGGGCGTCGTAGTATGGATCGGAAGCCTCACGCGGAGGGTGAATAAGGACCATTGTAGCGACGATCGATCTGCACCCCGCTGAAGTCAAACGCCTCGCCTAATGATGCGGCAACGTTTACGTCAGCGCTGAAGCTCAACAGGAGGGGCTCAGAGTGCTTCAGCTGCACACCGCGTCGGACTCTTGCGCGTTGTCAGTCGAGGTCGATAGTGAGGCTGAGTGACACTAGATGAAGCAGTGCAGAACCTCGAAGCTCCGAGGGTGCCGAGCAGGGCGAGCGTGAGAAGGGCTGTTTGTCCTATCGCTGGATCTGCGCTGTCTGTCAGCAAGCTACGTTGGAGATGGCATGGCAGGGCCGTGTGCGAGCAACCCACGAATCCAGTCGGACACTGCAAATCAATAAATAAGTCAAGCGCGTTCGAGCTTTGCGCCGTTCTCGACTCATCTCTTGCCGCGACGCGTCGCGATTCTTCTTTCTACACACATACATCGGTTCGGATCGGTCCAATTCAGTTCCGCCTGTCCGCCCCCACTTCCGTAAACATGACAAAGTCATCGTACCTCGGCATCTCGTCATCAGAAGAGTTGTTTCTAGGCTACCAGGCTGTAAAGTATATGTACCATAGGTGCATCCGCTGACAGCCGGGGACGTGTAGGCAGCCACATGGGGATACGGAGCGCAGGCCGCAGATCTGGGAGGGCGCCTAGCCAGACAAAGACGATCAGCTGCACCGGACTTACCTACAGAATAGGATCAAGCATTCATGAACGGGCCTTGAAGAAAGCGTCAATAAGCCAAATGCATCTCCGCAGCAGGTCCTGACTGGGGTTCTGCTGTGCCCTTCGCCACATAGGCTCGAGAAAATTTCCCTTCAACTCGAGCATCGCCACTTTACTGGCCATGTCCAGGTGGTGCATCGCCTCTTGACGGACATCATCCTCGTGAGGGCCAGCTTTTGCTCTCGAAGTTATAATTATTTGATGGCATACTGCTCTGCCTGAACAACACTCCGAACAGTAAGTTCCTCTTTCCTAGCTGCAAGCGCAGCTTTGGGTTCAGGCAAGTGTGTTCCCACCGCTTTAGCTTGAATTTTTTTTCGCCTTCCAGGCTTTGATGACGTCTCGTATCGATGCAATCGCCTCCAACTCACGTTTATGATACATATGATTAAGCAAAGAGTGCCGGTACAACATGCTGCAGAGTGTGTTTGAGAACACTAAAGAGAACTCGACGGCGATGCCTCGTTCGTGTATGCGTGAGAAGATCTGTTTACTACAGACATCCGTGGGTCTCTCATAGATGCCGTTTGATGGGGACGTCCACGTTCGGTGTGTCAAGCGTCGTGATCTGATGGTGATCCAGCAAGCAACCCTAAAAGGCGGGTAGAGATATATGACAAACCTCGTCTGTTGGAGCGGGCATGATCATTGCTCGGGGGGAATGTCCGAAGGGTCCAAGCGTGGCGCGCCAGCTGCGCACAACTTTTACTCTTTGTTGGTCCACATCCTGGGTGCAAACTTTGCCAACGCCCTTGCATTTTTGCTCGTGGATGCTAGGGAACTATGTCTTATATCAAAAGCCTGCGAAATATGCCCGAATCCGTGTGTTCATACGTGCGCGCAGTGAATAGAGATTGCAGTGCACATGCAGTGATAAAGCATTCTGACTTCGTCGAGGACGCATTCAAGATGGGCCGACTGTGGAGTTGCCAGTGAAGCATGATGCGAAATTTCCATGCCATCGTTTGCCGTCTGTAAACTGTTTATACAGATGTCCAGTCCAAGCGGCATGGCGTTCTGGGGTTCTTAGATTGGACGCGCACGAGCGTTGTCGAATTTGCTTGGGAGTAGGGTTTTGTGATTTCTTTCTTTTTGGTTTAAAGCACAACGAAACCGCAATTACAGCACAGCAGTGATATGGCCACGTGTCTTGTGCCTTCACCTTGTGACTGTGGGCAAGCGCACGCACGCAACTAGAGAGCAAGGCGGGGGTAATCGGGGTATCGGTTCAGGATTGTTAGTACCGAAGGGGTCAATTAGAGCCGGCACCAAATCGCCCCCCTCGAGCCTCGAGACATGTAACCAGAACCGCGTCACGATCAGAAGAGGTCGGCCTACAAGTGTAATTAATGTTGTGTGAGGATGCTTGCTTCGAAACAAGCTCCTCAAACGCTTTCACTTTGCATAAACTTTGCGCTGGGGGAATAGACTTCCTGCCTGGCAGCCCACTTCCCTCGCGGAACGCGCGCCAACCCTCTGCCTATATTCCTGTGACTTTTTTCTTTCCATTTCTTTTTTTGTTGATATGCTTGGTGCGGTGTTGCTCCTGTATAGTGCGCGTGTGGCGATGAGCACCCAAACACACGCGCCACTTTTTGCAACCCGCATACAAGCACAAGTGCTTGGAAGAGAGACTGCTGCCCAGCTGCCAATCGGTGTGCCCCCCCCAAAAGCCTTGCTGTGCATTCCTGTAGTTCGAGCACATCCCTTTCCTACAGCTACGCCCGCATCATCTTCCGTCCGAATGGCCTTCCAGAGGAGGCTCGTAGCAACATCCTGAAGCAGCATCGACCGCACAGGGGCCAGCCGGATGCTATGCTGACGTCTGGTTGCTAGAGAGTACCACATAGAGGTAGGAGGAACAGCGGGGAAACGTTGCACGGAAGACGGGTGGATCAAACTGCGCGCACGTTGTTGATCCATCTCGACGTCGCCACCTTCCTTCTGTCTTCCTCAGCTGCTGCTGCGTCTTCCTGCTCGCTCTTCGACCGAGTGGGAGAAGAACCTGCGCATCCTTTTGCAATATGGCTGAACGCGTGGACGAGGGCGGTGTCCTGCTACTCCTAAGATCGAGCACGCCCCCCTTGCTTCTGGACTCATGTCGTACCGCGTGTCAGCCGGCTCACGAGGGGGGCCTGGGCTTGCCAACCTTGCCATCCACAACACCCAGCTCAACGTTATCATCATCACAAATATTCCTGCACAAACGATGTACGAGCGTCACGATTGCATCGACCGGGTCTTGCAAGAAGCACGAATGCAGCGACAATGACAGCGACATAGTGGATGAGCAAGGGCGCGAGCTACTTGCATACGCCAGCAGCAGCTCGGCCTCCACATCCTCAGGGCAATGCGTGACGGCAAAGGCACAATTACCCAAAAAGGGAAACAGTATCAAAAGGAAAAGCCGAGGCTATCGAAGATCGCGAATAGTCGGTAGCGGCGAAGTCGCGGCCGTTCTCACAGCGCCGGATGGCTTTTGGCTCAGAGCCGCCGCGAATGACAGCCGCAGAAACATCTGGGGCACCTGCAGCGACTCCCCATATCACGCATCGACTTCAACAGCCGGAGCCAGGGCAAAGCCCGCAGCAGGGCCAGTCATGTACACAGGAGCCAGCAACGGCTATGGCGGCTCTGGGTTTGGAAGTGGTGGCGCTGGCGGCTCAGGGCTCGGCAGCGATGCTGACTTTCGGGTGTCGCCCTTCGCCGGGGGCGCAGGTGGAGATGATGGTGTACCAAACGGAAGAAGCGGTGGCGCAGAAGATGCCAGGGGTGGAGGTGGGGGGGGAGGTGGAGGTGATGGTGGGGCCAACGACGTAGCGAGCAAGGAGAAAGCCAGGAAGGCCAATCCTCTCGTCGATCTCATAGAAACGGAGACTGCATATGTCGCAGAGCTAGGGATGATTATTAAAGTGCGCCCTACCAGTGATATGCTTGGTACATCGGCCACTGATCATTGACTTGTCTTCATTTGACTTTGACCACCGCAGAAAGTCGCATCTGCCTGGAGCAAGAGTAATTTCCCTCCGGCAGAGCTGGACACCATGTTCCGTAACGTCGAGGCGGTATATCGCATCAATCGATCGTTTCTTAAGGTAAGCATGCAGGGCGGCGGAAGCAATGCCGGAAAGGACAAGCTAACAATTTTGGAAATGCAGTCGCTAAAGGAGATTGGACCGAACCCATCTTCGCCCAAGGCGCTAGGAGACCTACTCATGCGATGGGTGAGAAACTCACAGCAGTCTATCTTGCGAGTTAAGCGATCGCCCAACTGAATTGGATGCCCATTACACGCAGGTTGACGACCTCGACGCTCCATACTCACGTTACTGCGACAACTTCTTCTCCGACTTTGACAACTGGGCCGCTGTGCAAAGCAACAACAAGCTCAACGTCCTGCTTGACGAAATTTCGCTTCCGCCCGCGAACGGGTCCATGCCGGTCTACTCAGACAAGCGCCGTGTGCAGGAGGACGGCTGGACGCTGGATGGGCTCTTTGCGCTGCCGCAGATCAGGCTGAAGTACTACAAGAAGCTGTATGCGCGCTTACTTAAGAGCACACAGCCTGGCCGCAGCGATCACAAGCTGCTCGTTGCAGCCAACGGAAAACTAGATGAGCTGCTCGAAAAATCAAAGCGAAGTGTTGTCGTCAGCATCCTGCACGATCCGTTTGTGCAGACGTCGTCCGAAGCAAGAGTGTCGCAGAGCAGCCTCTCAGCTGACACTTCCTTGACAGGAACAGCAGAGTGAGTAACAAGCCCTCGCCGTTCGGGAGGTACACAGTATGCTGACCCATGGGGCTTACAGCGTTTCTGGTGATAGGAACGGTTCGGCCACTTCTCATTCAATGACCATGAGCGAACCGCAGAGCCCTTTCAAGCCGCCACCAGCAAATATGCCACAAGTGTGGGAAAAGATGCCGGCGCCAATCAACACGAACACCGGTTCCCGCGCACCTTCGCCTTACTCTGCGCCAGTCAACAACAGCAACCAAGGCAGCGAGGCGCCGCGTCTACCGGACAGCATCCGCAGCACCAGCCCGCTCACGATCTCGCTCTCCTCCGTCTCGTCGATTAGCATGGATTCGGCGGCCGAACAGGCCATGCGGCTGCAGACGCAGCTGGACACCAGCCGGACGCTGGACATCTTCACCATGACGCCGAAAGCGTGCCAGCTGCAAATTGTCCGGCCTGATTTGCCGTTCAAGCGCGAGCTGAGGCGCGATGCGGATGTTGTCATCCATTTCACGCCAAGGGCTACCGGCAAGGAGATGGTGGTCAGGAGGGCGCATATCTTCCTGCTCACCGACTTGTTCTTGGTCTCGGAGCGGATGATGCCGAGCGAAAAGGCTTCCAGGCCTGGTCCCGCTGAATTTTGGCTGCTCTTCCCGCCGCTGGCCGCTAAGCACCTGAAGATCACAGATGAAGGAGGACCGGGTGAGTTGGGTTCCTGCCATGGACATGTGACCGGAAGCTGCCGTGCTGAACAACCACATGCGTCTTTTTGCCGTTGCTCAGGCAACGTCCTTTCGGTGCTCGTCATGAAGAAGGAAATGCTGATCCTACATTTCGATTCGGCTGCCTCCAAAGAGCAATGGATCACCGCTTTTGATGCGTGCCAGCAATTTGCCAATAGCAGTAAGCAACGAGGCTCGCAGACCACGAAAGTTGCACAGAAGCTGACATGGAGCTCTGCACCCACAGTGGCGCCACCAGCAAAGAAACAGGCCTCGGTCCCTGCGCCTGCTCCCATGCTGCAATCGCCGGCTCGTTCGGACTTCAGCGGCGGCTTGCCTTCGCCGAACCTCCCTCCCTTTTCGCCGCTGGTTACAAGCAGCACAATGTCACACAGCTCAAGTGTCATGTCACCCACCACGGCAGTCACGCCCACCAATGGCTTGGATGGTCGAACGGCGTCGGTTGTATCAGCCGACTCTGCACGGGGGTCCGCTGGCGCTACTTTGACGCGCGAGGGATCGTTCAACTCTGTCGCGTCGTTTCCCAAGGCACCTGCACCCGGCGCCGGTGCATCGCCAGTCAACGGGCCGATGATGATGATGGGAGGAGGACAAGGTGCGCCGCTACCCCCACGACCCGGTCAATTCCACATGCAAAGCCCTCAGGGCTTCTCACCCGGATACAGGCCCGGCTTCCAAAATGGGCCGCCGCCAGGTGGGCGTCCGCCGTCGGATGGCTCGCCGACGAACAGCGTCCAGTTTATGGGTGGCCGTCCACCTTTCCGTCCTCCTGGGGCAAATGGCAGTCCTCCGTATGGACCAGTCCGGCCTGGGCAGCTTATGCAGAACGGTACAAGTTCTCCTTACGGGCCTGTATGGCCCGGGCAGATGAACAACAGGCCGCCATCTGGACCAGGCGGCATCGGATTCCCGCCTCAAAACCAAGGTCGCGGTAGTCCTGGAAATCAGCAGCAGGGCCTCCACCCTACGACTGGTCCAGGTCCGCGTGGGCAGCCGAACATGCGCTCGCCATCTGTGCCTGACCTTCGAGGCCAACGGCAACGGGACATGCCGAATGGACGCCCGATGCAGCCGCGCGCGCGCTCGGCTTCTCAGGAGGGACCGCAGGGACCGCCGAAGCTGCCTTCACAGATGATGAAGGATGGCAGTGCCAATCAGGAGGAGAAGTACAGTCCGCCGCCGAGTCCGAAGTTGCAGAGGCAGCAGCCACAGACATCGACTGTGTCTGCGCAGATGCGCTGCAAGACCTTCCTCAAGCAGAACCACGCGCAATGGAAGTCGCTTGGTCATGCAAGGCTCAAGCTATACGACCTTATGCCATCGTGCGACAAGCAGCTGGTTGTTGAGAACGACAAAAAGACGCTCATCTCGACGATCGTCATGCCTGACGGCGTCGAGCGCGTCGGCAAGGTCGGTGTCGCTGTTGAACTCTCTGACCGAGGGGCGAGAACGGGAATCATTTACATGCTTCAGCTGAGAAGCGAGGAATCCGCTGTCGGCCTCTTCGGGCAGCTCCTAGAAGGCTCCGACCGCACCGCTGCAGCGTACACAAGCACGAATCAAACGTCCTGATGCGAGAGAGCGAAACGAAGAGAGGGACAGGAGTTTGAGACGAAACATTGGCGACCATCACAACTATTATTCGTTGCAATACTGCTATCACTACTACTCTTCAGGAATACAGCCAAACCAGTCATGCGAGTCGCTTGGGGAAACAAAGAAGGAAATGCGCGCACCACCCTCGCTTTCCTGAGTTTGTTATCAGTTGTGTCCCGCATCCTAACCAACACATATATTGTACACCATACATCCTCCGGCATGCTGTCTGACCTGTAGGCCATCGTCGCCTTCTGAGGCGGCCAGTAGCGTGCCATCACCGCCCGCAGCTCCCCGATGGATTGACTCGACCACACGCCTATGAAAGGATGTGTCCAGCGAGCGTTACTGCCATGCGGGCTGCGGGGCTTCCAGCATGTGCGCGAGCAGGAGCTCGTCCATGCTCTATCTTGTCAGTGTCATCGCAAAAAGACAGTTGTAAGAGGATTTGAAGCGCCAAAGGGTTTGAGGTCAAGAGGAGACCTTCCGTATAGAAGTCTGGATCGCCAGTGCACAGCCGGCGGGGGCGTGCCGCGCGAGGCCAGTCCACTCTGCGCGCTCCCCCGCCTTTCCCTGGGGTCATGATATATGCGTTGTTGGTCTTTGATCTGTTGCGACCATTAGCGGGTCACGGTAGACCGCTCCGCAGAGGTGCAGATGCACTCTAAGAAGGCAGGGGCAATCGCTAGATTCATAAAGTCTGAGGAGCATACACGTGCATATAACATGGTCAAACCATAAGTGATAACAGGGGAGGGAGAGAGAAGGGTAGGGGCCGCTGGTGGATGTGCCGATGGTGGGGCCCCATGCCGCGCCAGGGCTGAATGCACGGTCACCTGTTCCGTTACGTACTTCATAATGGCTCGTGTTGTTTGGCTTGCCTTATACATCTAACATCGGCTCGCGATCCTGTGCTTCGTTTCCAGGTTGGCAGCGTACGCTGCAGGTTGCATTGACTCGGCACCGGCCAAAATCGCCAAAGGGAACGTATCTGCCATCAATCATAACGACTGAGCGCGTCTAGCTCAATCCGTGCCCAATCCTGACGCTATCGAAGACACCATGGGTACGTTGCTCCCCTGCAGCTATCGAAAGGGTCGCTGCTGCTGGTCCCTGCTTTGCTAACCATCTGCTCTGTTAAACAATCACCTTACCTTGTACATGGGCTTCTGTGCGACAAACAGCTTCCATCGACAACGCCACGCCCGCCACAATCGATCCGCAAGCTGCCGTTGCAGGGCAAACGGATCTGGCCAACGAAGATGCAAGCGGGCTGGCCACTAGGGCAAGTGAAGTGCATCACATCCCCGAAGAAGAGAAGAAGCGACTGGAGCTGTTGATCAAGAATCGCGCTGATGCGAAAGAGCTGCAGGACAAAAACATCCTCAAGCGTAAGTGTCACTGGCCGCAGAACAATCGTTGTCTCCGCCTACGAGGCTGATCAGATGTTTGGGTGGATGCTCAACATCAACACTGTCAGACTCAAACGTCGCTCCGGCGCTGCAAGCCGCGCAAGCAGAACTATTGCGCAACCAGCTTGAAGACAAGCTAGAGGGCAGGCTGGAACGCCGACCCGATGTTCAAGATCTTGTCAACCGCGGCATCCTCAAAGATCAAAAGATCGCCCCAGCGCTCCAGGACAAGGCAGAGGCGCTGCAGCGCTCTCAGCTGGAGGACAAGCTCGAAGGCCGACTCGAACGTAGGCCAGAAGCGCAAGACCTGGTCAAACGTGGCATTCTGAAGGACAGCAAGATTGCACCTGCGCTGCATGAAAAGGCAGAGGCGCTGCAAAGGTCCCAACTGGAGGTGAGAGAGGTTGTGCTGGCACACACAATGCCTTGGTGATGGTATATACGCGACGCGCTAATGCCATCATTTTGTTCGGTATACCATGCATGACCAGGACAAGCTCGGGAAGGAAGTGGCCGCGCGGCCGACGCCCGATGAGCTCAAGGCCAAGGGCATTCTGCAGTAGACTTGCTCGTGCTTTTGTCGATAAAGCCTTGATAGTTCTCGCAAGACTAGGAATCTGGAAAAGACATTATCCTGTATAGTACGATGTAACCTTGATCGCATATCAACGAAGCGCCACCACCAAAGCTCTCGTAATCCTTCCTCCTTCTCCGCTGCTACGGGTCGATGATCTTCTCGCGGAGCCATCCTCGCAGGCCCTCTGCAACCTTTTGCCGCTGATAATCCAGTATGATGGGCGCCAGCTGGCGCCATCCAAACTCAGGCCAGTAGCAATCGGCAAAGTGCAGTTGTGTGTTTTCGTTTGCTTGCCACAGCATGAAGTCACTCAGCCGGTTGACACCGCTCGTGCGCACGAGCACGTCCAGCGGCGGAGAGTCGGCAAGCATCATGTGCGCTTCGAGATCGTCTTGCGAGATATCTCGTGATGGTGGCGGACGTGATCGTGATTTTGAGCATAGGCCCGGAGAGCGGGAAGATGTGTCGTTCTCTCGATGCAATGACGCTTCGACGCTGGCCCTTATCGAGAGCGCCATCTCATCGCGTGAGGCGTACGGCATGCAAACGTTCAGCGTCGCTCTGCCGATTGCAGGGCGCGACACGTCGTTCAGCGGTCAAGTAACGAAAATTAAGACAAGCCGGGACGCAATTTGATCTCACCGGGAATGATTTTTGGTCATATTTTCGACCTTTTCCATAGCCACGCGCACGTCATTCGGAAGTAAATGCCTCCGACCGATGACTCGAACGCGTACCGAATGTCGTGCGATCACCTCCCTGCCGGAGGTTCTTTCTGTCAACGAGGGGGATCATACTAAAACATGGCGTGCAGCTCGTCGAAGCCCCACCTGTGACAACTCACCCATGTCCAGCCAACTCCAACAACCGAGTTTTTGCCAACTGCATTAATGCATTGACCTCCTGCGTGTCCCTCTTGAAGTTGTCGATCGCAAATGCATACACTGTGACGCACTTGACAGCGCCGAGCTGCAAGCACGCATCTAGCGTCTTCTTGAGCGCTTCGAACCCGCTCATATGTCCCTGCTGGATTGTCAGTGAGGATGAGCGTGCAAAGCGTCGGTTGCCGTCCATGATGAAGGCGATGTGCGCGGGGATTGGGCCTAGGGAGAGGATGTGCGGCCATAAGGAGGCGGGATCGAGCGAAGTTGGTATTCCCAAGAGTTTAATGGGAAGCAGCATCAGATCGAGTACCGCTCGTGGAGGTAGACCACGCGATGCGGCAGACTTGACCGCGGCCCTCGTCAGATCTGCGACCGTAGGAGCGCGCTCCGCGCGTGCCGAAGTCGATGAGGGGGGATCGGGGGCTGCATCGCTCGTGTTCGATCCGTTCGCGCCGCTTGTATCTGAATTTTCGACCTCTATCTCGGTTGCGACTTCAGACAGTTGATGAGACGTCTTCGCCCTTGATTTCAAGTGGAATTCATCCGCCAGCTGGCAATCTTCTAGCGCAGCGTGCAAATGTGCCATTTTCGTACAGAGGGCATCGAAGCGGTGCAGACAGCAGCCGCTCGCAGGTCAAGCGCTTTGATCCCACAAGGCGTCTTGCTCAGTCATGGTACCAGCAGCCGGCTGGCACATGCATCCTGTGGCACATCCATGACAGGGTTGGTGATGATATTGACGGTTGCATCCTGCTCGACATGAACGAGCGATACATGCATTATCGTGAGAACGTGTCAAGCCAACTTCGTCTCGCTTCACCACTGTGTCTTCCACAGCCAGTGTCCAAACCACTAGAGTTCTTCCATTTTGGACCATCGGGCCGCGGTTGGTAAATTCTAGGGTTCTCAACATAATCAGTTTACCTATTCGTGTCGCTCGCCTTCGCCAGCACGCTGATGATAAGATGCCTGCGCATCGGGTTTGCCCGCGCGTTCCTGGCCACCAGAAAATCGATTTAATGACATGATTAAAGAGTTACGCCGTATTGCGCCTAGTGGGGAAAGAAGATACCGCCAACAACGGATACCAGGGTCCAGTGGGTTGTGATTATACCCATGACATGCCGTATACATTCCATTCGAGTACAGTCTCGCTAGTTGCTGAGGAAAGAGATCACAAGGCTTCGAGGTGCCCGCCTCTTGCAGACAGCCACCTTCGTTGTAGGCTCGGAGCTGAATCCAGTGAGGTCCATGCATGGGCTGGTGACCGGGGGGTCGGGACAGATGCCGCTGGAAGGCGACGTACGGCACCGGCAAGGCTCAACGCAACTTCAGTCCCCAGCCGAGCCGGATGACGGTGGCGCCAACGATGGGAATGTCCGTGGCAGCGTTTAAAATGGGCTCGACGGTGCTGCATTTTCGTCGGAAGCGGACGAGCAAGGTTAGCAGCTGGAAGATGAGCTGTGGACGGCACTCCGAAGCAAACGGCTCTAGCGTCCGCCATGGAAGCTGGACCTACACATGGTCGACATTGCACTCTTTGTCTAGTTTCTGACCTTCCTGTATCTCTCCAATATTGCACATGCTCGTCTCAATGGGCTGGAAAAGAGGTTCGGGGGTTCGAAAGACGGGCATGATTACAGTGAGCCCGGACGATCGTCGAGCCCGAGGCCATCGCTTGTTTGCATTGCTCTTCCTGTTCCCATCGTAAAATGAAATGGCTGTCTTGGCGGCTATTATTTATCCACCATACATGTAAGTCTCCAAATACTTTGAACCTTTGTTGTTTTAGCCTCACCATACCATCTCATCTTGGGGTTGCAACCTAGCTTCTTCGAGTTTCCGAGCAACCTGCTCATCAAAATAGTCTCACCTGCATGATGGATTCACTTTCTGCTCATAGCATGGGGTATTTTCTCGACCCTCCAAAGCTTCTGCACGACCAGAACAGGCATCTACATTTCATGCGCATTTCTTGGTCTGGCTAAGGCGCGTATTCTTCCCGATATTGCGCTCTGGCTCACCCGTTTCTTCAAGCTGAACAAGGCCATGGCCCGTCAAGCGATCTATTTTTCCAGCGCTAGCATCAGTGGCGCTTTCTCTGGTCTGCTGAGCGTTGCCGTAGGAAAGATGAACGGAATCGGTGCGAAGCCCGGACGTGCCTGGATCTTTCATCTTGCGTCGCGGTCTCCCTTTCCCCCACTTGGGGGTTTGATGGCGAGGCCCACCACCGAAATGACTCGCTTCTTCATTGCAGATCGAACTTATTCTCACCACGCTCGTCGGCTTCATTTTCTTATTCATTTATCACCTGAGACTCAACATCTTCTCAGCCTCTCAAAAGCGGAGCAGAGCTTGGCCTGCGAGCGAATGCTGTCGGCCCCTCTGAAAGGCAACTACCTTGAGGACGCTGCATTCGTGGAGAAATTACAACGCAGTTCCTGTTTCAGAGCTGTTGCAAACCCCAAGAATATTGTATACATACTACTTGGCTTCACCGGGGCAGTCCCACTCTACAGCCTGGCTTTTTTCTTCCCACCAGTATCAAGGTGCGCTAGCTGTCACTGCCATTGATCGACGGCATATCTGACTCTCCCCGTCCGTTGAAACCTTGCCCAGGCCATCAGCTCGTCGTATTCGCGCGCCCAGGCGCACCTGCTGTACGCTATAGCCTTTGTTCTGACGCTCTTCCTAGCATTCCTGTCGGACCGTTATAATAGACGATGTCCAGTCACCATCTTCTCCGCACTCACAGTCATCGGTCTTGCTGTGGTGCATACGATTCCTTTGTCAAAGCTGATAGTGCGCTACGGCGCAATGACCCTTGTCGCAGCCCGTGCGTACTTTGTACCTCTAGCAATGCTGTCTTGGTGCTCAGTCAATACTGGGTCACATCACAAGAAGGGGACGCCGATCGCGATGTATATCATCGTTGGTGAGTAGAGCTGCCCGTCAGATAGTGGAAAGCAAGAGAGGCCTGACACGTACGCTCATTCAAACTTGATCTCCTTGCGCCACCCAATGAAACGCATAACCAATTCTGGCGGCCTGCTCGCTTCATACCTCTTTTCAACAACCGAAGCACCTGCCTACAGCTGACGTTTCCTCATCAACCTCTTTTTTGATTGCCGTCGAGATCCTCATGCTGGCGATTCTTACATTGGTGCTCTCGTGCGACCACCCGCGAAAGCCTGCAGGCACGATTGACCCCCCGGCGCGGACAATGCGCGAGAAAGTACGGGTCGCACCGCATCCCAGTTACTCTTGGCGACAGACACCGCAAGTTCATGATGCAACTGTGACGCATGCGATAGATTTGGGCTTCAAGTTGCTCAGGGGCAAGGGAAGTGCATGTATGTTCATTTTTCAAACCCGAGAGGTTTAGGGTTCAATGCAATTAGCAATGTATTCATGTATGTGTACAATGCTCTCAACGAGTCAAGTACAATGTGGTGCGAACAATCGGAAATAGGACAAAGGAGATCAATGGGCGCCGCTGGAATCACGCTCTTGGTCGTGCAGGAGCGCTTGTTGAACGACTTGCGTTCTCCTCGCGGCTTGAGGCTCGTCCCCGCTCGCCACCACCGGACAGATCCTGCCGTACTAACTTGGACGCGTTACGAGACAGCTTTCTAACTTCGCCGTCTTTGAGTTTGGCGCTCAGAGCACACGAAAGGACGTTATCTGGAGAGGACAAGTGTTGCGGTGGATGGAGCAAGACTCTGAGTGCCTCGCCGTGGTCTGGGATGGCACTCGAGTCCATGAGGACATCTCGGCAGATGCGAATCAGCGCAAGCCCGACGCGAAGAAGCCAAACAGGACCTGGAGAGCCAAATACGGACGTCAGGCTGGCTGATGAGAAATGACAAGCGGAGCAAGCCAAGCTCACCTTCAAAGAAGAACACGTCCCATACCCGCAACAGAGTCTGCCAGGGTAGAACGCGTACAAAGAGCGGAAGGAACCAATTGGGGGCAAAATGCGAAGCGTCGATGCCGAGGTCGGAGAGGCGAGACTGCAGTTGGGGATCCATGTGCTGCAGTAGTCGTGCAAAGACGACGCCGTCGACGTGCAACTGCTTCAGATTACCACTGAAGTACCCTTCCATGTGCGGTTCGCGCAGGAGTGCGCAGAGCATCCAGAACGCATCCTCTGGCGGCATCTGCAGCATGAAAATACCCGCGATCAAACCCATGCCTTGCGTGTAGCCGATGAACGGGTCTGAGAGAAAGCCATGACAAAAGTCAGTCGTCACAAACTTCTGGGTCAGGCTCGTTTCTCGAAGATGATTCTGTACTCACTAAAATGCACATAGGCTTTCAAGATGGCTTCGAGGTCCGCCCGCCCTGTGCTGTTTTCGCCAATGAACAGCTGATGATCCGGGAACGATCGACCAACGTCTTTCTCGATGGCGTCGTACGCTTCCTCCTTGCCCTTTCTCCCTTTGGCTGCCTGACTCTGTTTGCAAAGCATTTCAAACAAGCCTGGCCGCCGCCTGACGGAGCTATTGGCGAGGAAGAGCCAGACGCGCCCACGCATCGATGCGGGAATCCCATCGCGTACCATCTTCTTCACCTTCCGGCTCTTGCGTGCAGCAGCTAAATCATTCTCCTGCAGCACCTGCATCCACTTGTCCTTCGCCTCGCTATCTTCGCGCGGCGCAGGGAAGTCGGGCGAAGTGCCGGCGATGAAACCAAGTGAATCAAACTTCAATGGCATGCCTGGAAAAACAAGAGAAAATGGAGAGATTGCAGTCAGCATGGCGCGCGATCGAGGAGATACCGCAAGCAGGCGAGATAATCGAGCTCACCATTCTGACCCAGCATTGGGCCCGTTGGCGTTTCTGGTCCCAGTGCGGAGCCAGGTGGAGGACCCGGCGAAGGTATTCGCTGTCTGAAATGCGCGCTGTTCGGTGTGCCGGGCGCTAGGCCGGGGCTGGAGAAACCGCCGGAGGCGCTATGTGCGCCGGGGCTCGTGGCCAGCAGGCTCGGGCTGGGGCTGCGCGAGATGCTGTTGGGTGTGATACTGAGGTTGGAGCTGCTGCCGGCCGCATTGCTCGCGGTGCCGGACGGGAACGGGTTCGAAGGGTTTTTCTTCAGCTGGAAGCTGCCGCGCTCACGTATCGATGTGCGGTCCGAGCTGGAGCGCGTCGGCGGAAAGCCAGGTGAAGACGCGCCGCCGATGGAGCGGCTTGTATCGGACGAGACGCGGCCGTGCGGCTCGCCAGGTTGCACGCTGCTGCGGCCGCCGTTGCTACCGGGCGCAAGGCTGCCGTACGGAGAGCGCATCGAGTTGTTGTACCCGCCTGACATGCCTGGCCCGGAGGGTCCGGTTCCGGGACTGGTGGAGAGCGGCGCGAGCCCACCAGGCCCGCCAGGTCCGCTGCCCAAACCTGAGGACACAAGCGGGCGGAAGCTCGACTGCGTTGGCGACGGTATGTCCTGCGCCCGGTTCGTCGTCGAAGACGGTGGCAGACCAAGGCCGCCTGGACCATTGCCGGCCTGCGCAGAAGGCCTGCGCCGCGGATCGAAGCCGAAGACCGGGCCTTGTTGCAAGGAGGCCTGCTGCTGCTGTTGAGACGGCTGTAGAGATGCCTGTGGCTGCGGGGGTAATTGCATCCCGTCGAGCGGAGGCGGAGCATTGGGGCGCTTAGCGCCTGCCTGCCACAGTGCGAGCCCCGCGCTGGTCGCCGATGACGGCGCGCCGCTGCCGCCTTTCACACTCCCTGCTCCTGCGCCTGCATCAGACGCAAACAGAAGCGGCCGCGGCGTGATCGGATCCGCGGAGGACGTCGCTGCTGCAGCTGCCGCCGCCGCGGCATTGGCGTCGCGCGTGTTGAGCGTCAAGTGATTCACGGCGCTGGCCAGGCCTGCGCCCGAGGCTGTGGCGGAGTTCGAGCCCGAGAGGGAGCCGGATGCACGCTGCTGTGCGTGGCCCTGCTGCTGGCGCGAGAGTTGCCGTGCAGCCTGTGTGCGCGCCATCGCTGCGGGGACGATGCCACCGCCAGCGGCAGCGGCATCGTCGAGGGAAAAGTTGGGGAAGGCGACCGAGTCGCGGCCGTAAACGTCGTATATGGAGAAGGTGTAGTCGCGCCTGCGCTGAAAGGCGGCGCTATCGTCGGCATCCTCAGAGTCGGTCGTCGCGTTAGAGCGCGATGAGCTGCCCGAGAGCGACTTGCTGGTGTGGCCGTGTGCGCGCGGGCGGCCCGCGCCGCCCGGCCCTCCGTAGCCGTTGCTGGACGGGTACTGGCTCGAGGAGTACAGGCCATTCGCGCCGCCGCCGTCGTTGGAGCGCCGATGGATGGGCGACTCGTTCGAGGAGATCGGCGAGGGCGGCAAGATGGCGGTATTGAGATGTGCCATGCTCGTGAGACCCGCCTGGCCATCGACACCACCCCCACCGCCTGGGTATCGCTGCTGGTGCTGGTTGTGATTGCGCTGCGTTTGCTGATTGCTGCCGACGCTAGCAGCGTGCGACGCCGTTATGGCCGACTCGGAGAGCGACTGCGATGGTGTGTCCTCGGTGCTACTTGCAATGCTACGCCGGGCCCACGGCAGCGCTGACTCCGACTCTTCCGATTGGTCCCCGTCCTCATCGTCGCCGCCGAGATGCGAGGCGCTGCCGGTGCGCCGGTGCGTCTCGTCCGAGAGCGGCGGCGTGGTGATGCCGAGCCCGGCGCGGTTGATGCAGTTGCTGTTGACGATGGTGTGGAAGCATTATGTCAGCCAACGTGCGCTTGGCTGTATGCGCTCTGGAGTGGAGCAAGTACACGCACCTCGTCAACCCCTGTGAGTAGGACGCCTTGGTCGGCGTCGTGGCCATCATACCCCGATACCCATTGAGCGCGGCGCTCGCAGCGGATACGGGATCAGTGCGGTGGTGTTGCCCTGGAGCCGCTGCCACAGATCCATGGCCGTTGCTACCGTTTTGGCGGTATTGGTGTCCGCTGCTGGAGCTACCGCCCTCTTCGCCGTCCGAGTTGACGGCGGTGATGGGCATACCGGGCGGGACCTGGGACACGTGCATGTTGAAAAGGTCCGACTTCGACATAGGCCGTGTAGACGCGTCGCGCACGCTCCCCACGCCGCTTCGCCGCATCAGCACTGGCTTCTTGAGCTTGCCGTGGAACTGGACGTGCGCGCCCTTGAAGCGCCCGACGACGCCTTCGCAGTAGCCCTAAGAAGATGATGGGTCAGCCAGCCATCCTCTCCTTTGTCGACCCGCCTGTATGTATGCGCCTTGCGTAGGATGAGGCTACCGCAGAGCTATGCTCAAGAGCAACGCAGACAGACACTCACCAAGAACCATGAATCTGCATCCGGCATGCCGGACCGTCTCTTGACGCCGCTCTCATCCTCGTCGAGCCTGCGGAGTACGATGATCTCTTCGCCGGTCATGAACATCAAGTCATCCTGGTCAGTTGCAGGATTGTCGATGAGGGCAGTGCATTTGCCGATGCCGCCCTTTTGGAGCGCAAAGCGCGTCCACGCATTGAGGGTGTGTGCATCCATCCTTCTGTCTCTCACTTGACCTGTTCTGCCGACACTTCTTCCTGTGCGCCAAGCACCCGTCCGTCCGACCGCCTGGATGCCTCTCAAAACGCTCGTGATGAGCTTGCAGCCACCAGGGAAGCGGCAGCAGACCTAGCGACGCTGGCTTTCTCTATGCCTGATGTCACAGAAGAATAGATCGACTACTGCCTGCCTACCTACCTACCTGCCGCGTGCAGGCAGCTCTGTTTGAACCAGCGGCGATGCGCCGATCGGCGACGACGGGTAGAGGAGTAGGTCGAGCTAAGCTGAGGCGATGCGCATAACATACCATCCGTCTCTACGACGGCGAAAAGAAACGATCGATGTAACGCGGGAGCGCGCTCACGTCTCGCCGGCCAAGCAAGTCGGCAGCACGCTGGATGGATGCTGTCGTGTGCTACACACTTCTGTCCACAGCTGTGGTTGCTCGTGGAGTGAAGTGCTGTGCTGTGGTAAGATCGATGCTGGCTGGAAGATGGATCGCTTGCTACATCGACAACGCTCTTTCCAACATTGCTCAGAACGGGATTGAATGAGGCATAGCAATAGTAGTAGCTAGGAGTAGTGGTGGTTGGAGTAGCCCACTGCCAAAACAGTGCCCTCCATCCCCGCCAAAAAATCAAGTAGAGAGTCGCCTGGTGCCTGCTGCCTGAAAAAGAGGAGCATAGCTCAGCTCACCTCCCACTGGAAAGGCACTCTGCCCGTTCGCCAGCGACGCGGCCACCCGAAGCCCACGTCTCAACCCCTCTGTGTCACATGATGGGGCACTGCAGCAGAGAGCATACCTACAAACAATGCATACAAACATATGCGCGCTCGCTGCCCCGTTCGTGCGTTGGCGTTAGGGGAGATGAACTTGCGTGTGAGCCGCCCGCCAGGCGCCAAGAGATGTGACACCACATTTTTGTCGCAGACCAAGTGGAGGAGGGGGTTTCTGTTCCGGCGGCAGTAGGCCAGTAAAGGTACAGTACTGTATCGGCACGAGCACCAGCAAAGGGAAGATGTAGGAGAGCATTTTTGAGTGCATACAACGGACAGACAAAGCGGCCCTGTTTCACAATCTTGCTTCGTTACATCCAAGGCAAAGGGCCTCACGATCAAAGGCTCTATCTACACTGCGGTGACTTCATCTCCGCAGCATTTACGCACAGGTTACACGCGAGCAGGTAGGCAAACCAAAAAGAAGAAACGGCGATCACAAATGTGCACCACAGCAAGCGGCCAAGACGAGCGCGGAACGGTTGCGCTGCCGGCCGGCTTGTACTAATCGCTCCACTTCAGTCAGACGCAGCAGCGGGAGGAGCGCGCTGAACCGGTGGGTCCTTGGAGTACCCTTCTTTAAGGTTTCAAATTTTGGGGCACAGAAGTCCATTGCCCAAGTGTACGAGCCCAGGACTCCAACAGGTTTGAGCGTATATGTACTCGTTAACATCAACAAGTAAAAAAGAACCATAGTTTTAATGCAAGGAATATAGGCAGTTAGACACCTGTCGACACCTGGTGGCTCGGTGTCTGAACAGAGTGGGTCGGCGCGCCGTGAGCCTGTAAGTTTGTGTGGCATATGACACCGCTTCCCCTCTCGTCCCTTTCAGTCACTCAAATCTCGCTGTGGATCGATCGGCACTCCAGTGTCGTCCCTTTCTCCTTTGCAACATCCATGCCCACTCGATTGCATTAGATCCGGCGCGGGCTGCACCAGCTTGGACAAATATATTCTGTTCAGATGGAGAGACAAACGAACTGGCCGTGTTGCCTCTCGATACGCTACCCCTTGAGGCAAAGCAAGGCTTGCCAACTCTTCAGGGAGCGCGAAGAGAAGGCCCGCGATGGCGCGACGGACGCGGCGACAAGTGTGATCAAATCATTAACTGGTTGTCGACATTCCCTCTCACTATATAAGAAGCGTTGATGGAGTTTAGGCTACAGGTGGAAGATGTTAGTGTCGAGCTAAGGGCGGCCCAGCTCGAGCTGAACGGCGCAGAAGGAGCCGAAGGGCTCATCAATCGCTTTTGAGGTTGCATTTTCCCCCACGGCGTGGAAAGCATTTCATCGTTTTAGAGAAATGCCCAGGCAGGAGACAGGAGCTCTTCGAAACAAAAGGATTCTCCACATGCTACAACATATACGGGCCTGGCCAAGGAAACGCTCATGAACTGGCATCGAGGAGGTCGAGGAGCGCTTTGTTTGTATTACTCTGCCCGCCACCAGAGTGTGAGAGGCGCGTGGTATAGCATGGCATTGTGCATGAGAAGAAATGTACTTTCACATCATTCTTTCCGCACGACCCCGACTGCTGTCGCCTCGGGTTGTCCCTGGCTGGTGTGACGTTCAGGCACCGCGGTGCAACCCACAGCAACTTCTCAGCGAAGCTGGACGGCGGATGCCAGCGCAGTCTTAACTAGTGGTAGTCTGTCGACGCAAGTGGCCGATATGTATTCGATAGTCTCACTCTCAAAAACGCGAGATTGCGAACCCTCCGCGTCGACGAAAACGCGGATGCGCTCAGCGATTCGCCGTGAGGCTGCGATGCATGTATGCATCTGCCAACGAACAAGCCGAAGTTGTGCACCCGACCGCGAAGCCGTCCCCGTGCCACCTTGCACGCTCGTACAAGTCTATCCTCCCTCTCTGCATTCCCCGGCTGGTCACCAGCTGGTGCCCTATGTTCTTGTGTCATGCGGTAGTCGTGCGTGACAGTGTGTCGGACAATCCACAGCACTGCATGCAGATTCTAGTATCCAGGTCGTGTTTTGAGTGCGACACACACAAGACATGCTTCGGAGGCACCGGTGCTTTTGTGCAGTACAGCAGTGTAGAGCCAGGCGGCGCTAACCCTCACCGTTGAGTACAAAGTGAGTGACACCGGTCAGGCTGGGGACAGTGACTTTTGTGCGTGTGTGTTACATGTGCTGGTGAGACAAGGCTGACGCCTACACTTGTGCCGCAGTGCATGAGACGCACACCCCCTCCATTGTTCCCAATAGCTTCTCAGAGACTCAACTCTGCAACAAAGCCATCCTCATGCTTTCGACATGCTTCAATCCCACTCCCCCGCTGCCTCTTCAATACATACATGCACCTACTACCTGGACATCTTTCTCCGTGTTGCCTTGAAGGCCAACTTCCCCCTCCACCCGACCAGACCCAAATCGACAGACGACGCCTTTTCAATCGTCGTGACGCAAGCATCCTTTTCATACTGCTGCTGCTGGACGGCGCCTTCTCTCTCTCATCACCACTTTGACTCACGTTAACGTGGCTTCAGACCAGCTCTCCCCAGCGGCACCAGTCAGGACAGCTGTCGGCGCTGAGCACTTACAGCACAAGAAACACACTTAGGGAGGCCCTGCCGGACAGTAGCACCCAGCGTGCTTGGATTGCGGTCGAGTGAGCCACTCCAGACACAGCCCTCCCCATCTACCAGTGGTCTGCAACAGAACAGCGAGCGCTGAGCGCTCGCCACTCGTGCTTTTCCATCTCACACATACTTTTGATCCAGTAAGCACACACACTCTGAAACGGCACCGACGCAGCTTCATCAACCATGTCGCACGGACAATCGCGTCGCTGCTTCAGGCTTCCATGGCTCCTCGCGCTCGCCCCGCTGGCCGCGCTGGCACCCAACCCCGTCAGCGCATTCAACATCACCCTCGAGACATTCTCCTGCTCAGCCATGTCCTGGACTCTCGAAGTAACCCAATTCGAGAAGACCAACGCAGCCTCGGTCGGCTTCTTCGTCAGCCGGGCAGGCGATGGTCTTCTCTACTACAAAGAGACGCCCCTCAGACAGTTGAATTGGGACGCGACCGGCTTGACAACGTCAGTGGTTTCGACATTTGGCAACAGCCTTACCGGAATCGTCTCGAAGTCAAAGCCTATCGGTGTAAGTACCAGAGAGGGGAGAAGTTGACATTGTCTCGACGGACACGACCTGACGTTTGGCACCGCATGGCGCTTCGCAGGCCTTCCTCGTCCCTTATGCCAACTCGGTACAGGCGACTCCTGACAATCTCTACTTCCTCGACGACCCATCCAACTCGACCTCTTACGCGCGCTACTATCAGGACCAGATAGTCAATTGTCCCAACGGGGCGACGGCGACTAGTGCAAGCTCAAGCTCGAGCACGACGCAGTCCTCAACAAGTAGCAGCACCACCACTCCCGCATCTCCCACTGTGGCGCAGACAAGCGCAAGCAGCACATCGCCGGCGCAGACGACCAGCACCCTCTTTGGCAGTGGCAACGCGACTGCGGCCGCGAGCGCAGGGCAGCAGAAGAGCAGTTCCGGCACAAACGTCGGCGCCGTCGCCGGCGCCATCGCAAGCAGCATCGCAGCCACAGCCATTGCTGCCATCGCGGTATTTCTGCTGTGCCGCCGCAAGCGCCGCGCCAACTCCTTTGTCGCGGGTGCCGGCGGCGGCGCGGCGTGGGGCAAGGACGACGACCACCGCCTCCGGCAGGAGGTCGACGGCTGGCGCGATCCCGGCAGCGGAGTGCTCGGCGGCAGCTTTGCCGTATCCGCCCGGATGCCCGACGTCGCTAGCCGGCCCATGTCCGTTCCTGTTGGTGCAGGCGCAGAGGATGCGTACATTGGCGCAGCGGCGGCCGCACAGCATCCCTCTGGGTATCCCCACTCGGCATCGTCCCTGCCATCTATGCTGTACGACATGCGGCACCTAACTGCACAGGCGCAGTCGCCATCACAGTCGTTGGCGTCGTACCCAGTCAACATGAACGTGTCGCCACCCGGCTTCCCGTACGCAGGGCCAGTGCCGTATCAGCCGGGGATGATGCACCAGCCGCAGCAACAGCAGCTGCAAGCGGACCCATTCGCCACACCCCACGTACAAATCGACATGCCTCACGCGCCCGCGTTCGGCACAGCGTTGCAACAGGAGCGGCCCTTTAGTGAGAAGGAAGGGTATAACGTCGCCTCGGCGGACTTTGACACCAACTTTAACGTCCCGCACGACGACCCGGCGCCGCCTTACCGCAGCGCGAGCATGCGCAGCGTCGCATCTGCGATGAGAGGCGCTGCTGGTACTGCCACCGCCGCTGCTGGCGCTGGCGCATCTGCCGGGCAGAGCACCCGAGGGGCGTACCCTCCACGCGTCCGCGCGGCGTCTGCCTGCAGGTCCGGCGGCCGCAGCGGCCGCGCGCAGGGAAGCGGATTCGACAATGGCACCGGCCTGACTTCGCCGTTCCCGGGTGGGCAGCAAGCGGCGCGGCGCGCGAGCGGCGATGGCTCGCGCCCTAGCTCCGCGTCCGGCCCCGGCGCCGGGAACATGCGCATGCGCAAGGACAGCAACACGTCGCTCCACTCGAACGCGAGCGAACGCTCGTATAGCGTCATGCGCAAGCCTGTTCCGCGCATCACGAGCGACGAGCTGAACGAACTGGAGCAGTCTGCTGCTGCTGCCAGCGGCACGGCCGGTGCGCCGCGCCTAGGCAGCGGCTTGGACCTGAGTCCCGGCCTCGAGACTGTGCTGCGCCTCGGCACCTTTGCGAACTCGGTGCCTGCAACCGAGCAGGGACAGCAATCACAGTCACAGCCGCACAGCAGGGCCCTACCTGTGCCGTCTAAATCACCCAGTGCGAGCCAGCGGTCTTCCTTGCCCGGTGCAACCCCTGGACGCCTCGAAGGTGCGTGCGGCGGGCTGATTTGAATGGATCGCCGCAGCATTGCGTTCATCCCACCACCTGCTGGTCGGGTGGCAGTGTCTGCAGGCAGTGCCGGCGGGTCTCGCCGCATCCTGCAGCCAATTCAAGAAGACATTTTGGTTGTTTTGTGGTTGCCGCATCTCGGATGGAAACAATGCCCGGCGCACGGCCATCCTCGTCGCCGCGTCCCCACGGCCCTTTCGGTGTCTCGCACGCCTTGCTTCCACCACCCTCTTTCCGATCTAGGCTTTCATTCGATTCTCCAGCTACCTTGTCTCCTTCGACCGCGCATGTTGGGCCCGCCAGCTCGCACTCCAGCGAGCGGTGCAATGGCCCTGCTTCGGCTTCGTGGGGACAAGTGGCACATCATTTGGGCTTTCCATTTCCTCGTCATCCACTCCCAATACTTCCTTTTGTTTACTGAATCGCCATGGGCTTGCGCGACGCTGTATTGTATATCTACTTTCCCTTCATTCGCCGCCGTGTTCAGAAGGCATGCCG